CCAGACAGTCCTGCGGGAGCAGGAGTCCTCGCCCCAGTACACACACCGCAAAGCAGCTGGACTTGCTTTTTTGTAGATCCGTCCAAATCTGTACCCGGACTTGGGTTCACTGAAGCCTGCATGGGTAAATAGTTACCTCAAATCAGTCACTGCACTGCCTACTTGCTGTCTTGTGCAGCAACCACATGCTTGCCCTAATATCCTTCTAAATCAGGACACAGAATTAGAGGCCCTGAAATTCTGTCCCTGATAAATGTGGTACCTGTTACTAGTCTTCCCAGAGTAACTGGTTGCAGTTGTAAGACCTCAGGTGAAGCACTTGTGTCAATGTTATTTCTGGACTGTCACATTCTGGTATGAGATTTTTCCCCAGTCATACCCAAAATGCTTCTATCCTGACACTTTCCTCCAAATCAGCACCATATGCCCCCTTCCAGGCTCCTTGAGCTACCGTCAGCCTGACACTGGGGCCCCAAAATTGCTCCTCTAGCTAGTGACAGATATAGAAAAAAATTAAGTTGCTGCTACTTTATCTTGACAAATCCATAGCTGGCCAAAGCTCTGTCCAATAGCATTGAAAATGGAGTTGTTGCTTCTATTCTGCTGGATTCTGGCAATTTTTTTTCCTCTTGTGCTGAAAAATGTGCTGGCAGATTATCCACTCTGATGCTTCAAGATTGGGAGCAATTCCCAGTGCATGGAGGAACAAAAGCTGCCACTGTAGCTCTATTAATATACCCAACAAGTGGATCTTACTGGGTTTCGCCTTTTTTCTCATTCCCGATGAATGAGAAAACAAATTCTCATTTGCATAATGTGGTTAGTTACAGAGAAGTTTTAAAAACTAACTGATTAGAAATAAAATACGTTTTATAGGTGGGTTATCAAGTTGCGGTAGGATTCAGGAGGTAAAATCAGTGTGGCATTTTTCTTGTTTTCTGTCTTGATTCAGCAGCAAATGTGTGGTTTTGTTTTCCTGGGCAGTGCTAAGGTGGCTGCGATGAGACTGTTTAAGCAAGGGATGTCAGGTGAGAACTGGCAAACTGTGTCTGGTGCAACCAGTGTCCAGTTGCAGGATGCGGCGCTTTTCTCTTCTTCCTAATGCACAATAATCACACTATGACACAACACAGTACAGTTTTTTTCCTCTCCATTGCCTTCATGCATTCTCTTAAGCTGCAGAATGATAAGAGTTGAAGACGTGTTTAGCAAATATTGTGCCTAGGGCTTTGTTTGGTGGGTGCTTTTGGGTTTGTTTGGGATCTAGGTGTGGGAGGGTGCAGATGTACTGAAATGCACTTGGATTGACTTGCTGCTCCTGAAGCAGAGGAACCTATTTGGTATTCTTAAAATGAAATTTTAGGAAGCATGGCCAGAACTATTTTTGATACCAGTTCTCAGCTATACAGTTCAGTGCAGTGGGATGCATGAAGGGTATGAATGTAATACTGCAGAAGTGACTCGTTTATTTCCTGAGCATGATAATTTGAGGGCTTGACTTTAAAAATTGGTAGCTCTGATAGACACCAGGTTCTTGGCATATTTTTATGTTGGGGTGTGTTGAACTTCTGGTGATAATGATGACTGCAGAATTATGAGCAATTACTCTTGTCTGTTTTTATGTAGTTTGGAAATTGAGGTCAAAACACAGATAAATAAATATTCTGTTCTATTACTCCAATCCTTCCACCCCCGCCACCATGTGGAGCAAATGGTCTTATGTGCAGTCTTTCAGAAGGCAGCAAATGCTTAATTTCCTTAAAATATAATTCCATGTATGTCATCAGTGGAACTAAACAATAATGATCTTTCCATCACTCCGAAATTACCCATTTATCCAATAACATCTCTATGGATCTGCTGGATATTGGATTTCTGTGCAGGTTGTACTGTTTATTAACTCATTTGTTTCTTTTTCCCCCATGCACTTTATAAAAGGTGCTTTCTGGAATTTTAACAGGAAAGTGCTTATCTGGTACATCTTCTCAGCCAGTAACAGCAGATGAGTTTTAAGTCAGAAATCTGGGTTGAAGGAAAGTGACAGAACAGAAATCATTACAAAATGAATTAGCAAAATTGCCAGTTTAAAAGCAAATGCTACATTCCAGTCCCTGAACATGCTGTTAATCAGGAAGCAGGAGGAGCAAAGGCAATAATTTCTGGAGATATTTTTGCCTTTCATGATAGCAAAAAATAACCTCATGCTACTAATAAAACAGATGTTTTTTTGTCTGCTTAATATTTAATACTAATAACTCAAACACTTTCAGATATTAAAAGCAGAAACACTATTTTCCTACAGATGAACATTTATAGCTCACAGAAGAAGCAGCTGCCGTGGAGGCTCTATCGTTTACAGAATTGTGTGCTCTTGATCCTGTGTATGAAATTGTTAGCAGCAGGAGCAAGCCCTAGATTTGGCATGTTTTTAAAACACTGGATTGTTTTTAGCAATGTAGTTAAAAATTCTCATGTATGTAAATCGTTTTTGTTTTTCAGCTTGTCCAGGAGTTCAATACCCAGGTGGCTCTCTATCGGGAGCTGGTCATTTCTATTGGGGATGTCTCACTCACCTGTCCTTCTCTGCATGCGGAATTGCACAAAACTCGAACCCGAGGATGTGAGATGGCCTATCAGGCTCATCAAAAACTAGCAGCAATTTCTGGGTAGGAGGCAACTTATGTTTAATTAAAGCCATATTCATGTGCAAATCTTTGTTAAATACTACATAATGGAAACTTTCAGGAAAAGCATTAATCTGTGTTTCTGTTTTAGGCATAGAGGCGTATGACCACAGATTTTGCAGAATGTCCATATCTTTATGATAGTACAATTTGGGATCAAATCCTGGTCCCCTTACCAAGAACATATCCTTCTGATTTCACTGGATGCTTTTATGTAAGACAAACAGGATTTTATTGTGTATCACTGTAGATCAAGGGGGAAGCCATGCCATGCCCTTCTAGGATGAAATAGCAATAGCTTTCTGCCCAGTCTTCCATTGAGTAGTTAAGAAACATTGAATAGTTAAGAAACAACCAAAATTTGGTGAAAATTGAGCAAAGTGAATACAAATACTAGTCTAAAAACTTGTGTTTACCTTCTACATGTTTTTAAACCCTTGTTTGTGTTGAAATAAGAATGAAAGCTTTGCCAGCATATAACGTTTTAATTTATTCTTTGGTATCACATTATGTACATTTTTTTCCATGGTGACAGAATGTATTATCACATACTTGAGACTATGCCTCAGTGCAAGATCAACCAGCATAAATAGCTCTTTCCTAAAAAATGGGAATTCGTGCTGCTAATTCCATGTGGGTGCTTCACAGTATGATGACTGGGGCATTTGCATTTATACATGTACCCCCTGAGTCATGTCTTTCTGATTACACTTTCTCAGAACTTTCTGCATCTATCTTATCTACCATAAGCCATTGTGCACCACTAGAAAAAAACCCCACCATCTTTTTTTTGTAGCTCTGCCTAATCTCCATTGAATTTCTTTCATCGCTTTAATATGTAAAAGGAATCTGTTATAGGTTTGATATATAAGGGGAGCCCAAAGAAACAAACCAAACAGGAAAACATACTGGTTGGGTGTTTTAGTAGAAATGTCATCATTTTCAAGTAAGACTTTGTGCAGAGTGACTTAAGTTGGTTTTGTGACCTCTGATTTGTTCCTCAAACAAAATACATGCTTTTAAAATACTAAAGTTGATGGGGACTTAAAAAAAACTAGCAATGAATAGACATAGTTCTTTTTAACCAGTACATTGAAAAATGTGAAACAGTAGTGAAATTTGTCTTGTGTGCTTTCAGACTTTTCTTTTCAAAAGAAAAACTAATATAAACTAAAATAATACATTTGAATAGCTGAATCTATTTTGTAACTCTTAAATATTTTTCCCTGTAAAGAAAACAATTGATACATGCTCTTTTAGAAAGTACACAGTTGTTTTAAGCAATCATTTCACAGCTGGAAGTCTGTCATATGCACAAAGATGTCCTGAAGGCTGTGCAGTTGCTGCGAGATTGACATTTGGCTAATCTAAAACTGTTCTAAATAACTCTGATAATACTGTGATATCCATAACAACTGGTAGGTGTTAGAAACTCTCTGGAAATTACTTGTTTGGTTTGACAAACATTTTACAGGATGTGCTTTGCATCCCCACCCTCCTGTAGCTGAGGAAAGCCATAATGAGGCATTAACTTTTTTTTGTGTATTTTTGAGGAAAGGTGGGAAATGAAGATACAGCAAGAAAATAAATAGAAGGAGAGGGGTAATAAATAGTCTCAGAGATTTAGTCTTTACCTCAGCAAAAATACTGATGTAGTGCATGTGAAATAGGATCTGGAATAGGAATCTAATTGGCTAGGAAGAAAAAGTATCAGGAAAAAAAGTGCTTAGGGACAGGAATGCATTAAATCATCCTCAGTGTTAAATAGTCAGGAGGGTAGTGTGCTGTTCAGAAACCACTGTTAGTCAGCATATGGGATGAAGGTTTATTTAGTTCACTGCTTTAGCTCAAAATGCACAGCACTGCACTGGGTAGCACAACAAGTTCTGTCTTCCAAAACTTATTAAAGAAAATGTGTTGCTTTCCCACCTAGAAGAAATAATAGCAAGAAGCTGTTTATGTTACCAGACTAGAACATTTAATGAGCAAATACCATGCTATTAATTTAGGCCATCAGTAATGTTCAGTTAGTATCTAAGTGATCTATCTGAGGTGTTGCAGGGCATTCTTCCTTTGGAGAAGCTGGTGTGACTGTCTAAGAGAATAGTAAGTTTGTTTATCTTGTTTGTGCTGTGTTTTCCTTGTAACATTAGCAGACACCTTGATGTGATTCTGCTTCTCTTTGAATATATCAGGATGTAACGGAATGATGGAATTGTTAGGGTTAGAAGGACCTCTGGTGATCATCTGGAGATCACCTAGTCCAACTCCTGTTGGCACTAGTGCATTTGAGATTCTTAAATACCTGATTTGGACAATTAGAAGAGGCACCTATTTCCTTTCTTAACTCACTTGTAGTACAAGACTAAGCAAGGTAACAAAGAGGAAAGATGCAAAGACTTGGAAGGAAAGAAGTGAAAACAAATCCTCTAGTGCTGGGAAAGGGAGCTCTGGGAAGAAATTTGGAAAATGTGGGAAGGGAAAGTAATGCTGAGGTGGAGATAATGCATTAGAAACTTAGCAGGATAGAAGTCATGGGGACAAAAAAATACATTGGTCTTGGGCATATCAGTTCTAGAATATCAGGCACACATCAAAGTAGGACAGTGCTGTAATGTGAACAAGAAGAGAAGTAAGTGTAATGCAGAAGCGTGCAAGTGTACCTGTAGAAAAAGGATACACTGATATGCCAACAAAAGCAGATTCAGCTATAGAAGCAGAGGAAGTGAAACTCACACGTTTTAAAAACTGAGAGAAAGAAAGACAAATGAGATAATGAAAAAAAGATGAGGTAGCAAGGAAACCTTTTAAAGTCCACACTGGATTAGACCATATCACCCTATATCTACCTCAAGCCTGACAACTGCTGGTAGCAGAGATTTCATAAAAAAATATGCCAAGATACAAAAAAGAAGGTTGTGCATAGATGGCTTCTCTCACGTACTTGACTCTATCCATCACTCAGCATTCAGAAGGCAAAGGCTGCATCTGAACAGTCCATATCTAACAAATGCAATTTCTCTAAATATTAAGGTATTTTACTCCAAAAATGCTGAGATTGAATAACGAAATCTTTACACTGTGATGTCTTTAAAAACCTATTTACAAAAAAAATATTTCTGAAAAAGAAAGCTTCAAATTAAGTCTCCAACTTAATAGGGCCTCATAGATACTATATCCTCTTCTTTACTTGCTCTGATATCTTTTTCTTATAGAAATAGTAAGATTTTAGATAAGAGGAATACCGATTAGAAATAAAAATAATCTAAATTGAAATATCCTAATTCTAGTTAGTGTTCTTTTAGGAATGCCCTAAAGCAAACCCTCTTTTCAGTGTTGTATTTCTCAGGACTTCAGGTCAATTCCTGCTCTCATACTAAAATTTTTTAGTGATTCTTAATGAGCTGTCTTCTGAGGAGGGTGAGTAAGGTTTGGTCCTTTCATCACATTTTCTGCTCTATAACGTAGCAAAAATTAAAAATCTGAAAGTATTTACATTGTGCATCCTTGTAGTATTAGTTGTCCAGTCAAAACTAGACAAAGTACAGGAACAAGAAAATGAGTCAGCATGATTTCTTTTCCAAAGAAAAGAAAGGATAAAATTTGTAACAGTAAGAAGATGGGGGTGGGGAGAAAGATGCAGATCTCTGTTGGGGAAGGGAGTCTGCTTTATGGAATGATAGAATGGTGATCTGTTAGAATTCGTCAGACAGGGAGCTGGTTTTATATGTGGAGTCCACTGAGTCTGGGATGTCAAGAGAAAGATAACTCAGAACTGTATTTTAAGATACAGGTCTGCACAACTGTGCACACACTTTTGTGAATGTCCTTACATATTCTCAGGCACTTGATAGGCTTACATAATGTGTGCACTTGGCACACTGAGACCAGAACTGGCAGTGTCTCTGTGACAGTCTGATATATATGTTGGCAGTGGCTTTTTTTGCATGAAATAAAACTGTGTGAGGAGCTCAGGGGTGCATGGCAATGTACATCTGTGTGAGCATAGCTCTGAAAGTGATTTTTCTCAGTTTTTCTGACTAGTTGCAAAGTCCAAAATCTAAGGAGGAATAAACCTCTAGTACGCACTGGGGCAGCAGCTTTGCAGAAGAGGATCTTGGGGGTTCTGGTGAACATCAGGTTGAACATGAGCCAGTGCTGTGCCCTTGTGCAAAGAGGGCCAGCAGCCTTCTATGCTGCTTTAGGAAATGCTGCCAGCAGGTCCACAGAGCTCATCCTTCCTTTTTACTCAGGGCTGTTGAATATGGATGCAGTGGGCTCCCTAGTAGAAAGGAGGAAAGAACAGGTCTAGTCAACTACCTTAAAGATGATTAGGCAGCATCCCACATACTGTTAGACCTGGTATTGTTTAGCTTGGAGAAGAGAAGGCTGGGAGGGGGATATTATCAGTGTGTATAAAAATACTTGATGGAATGTAAAGAAGACAGTCAGACTATTCTCAGTGATATATAGTGATAGGACAGCAGGTAAAAATTGAAATGCAAATAAAAATTTATTTAAATTTTTGTAACTCCTTTTTTATTGTAAAGCAGGTAGAATATTAGAACAGGTGCACTGAGAGGTTCTGGAGTCTCCCGCCTTGGAGATACTGAGAATTCAACTGGTCATGGCCCTCAGTAACCCTCTGTAGCTGATGCTGCTTAGAGCAGGAGGCTTGGAGCAAATTAGTTCTGGTGTCCCTTCCAGCCTGTGACAAAGTCATCATAAATCCCCTTGGGAAAATTCAAAGAAAAAGTTTCCTTATTTGACACCCATGTGCATCTGTTACTTTTATAAAACAGTTGCTAATTTTAAGTTTCCCTAAGTTCATGAAGAATGAGAGAAAGAGTTGAGAAAGTGAGCTAAAAATCACATCCTGATTGCAATCCCGTGCACAAAAAGACTATCATAGATAGTGTTGCTTTAAGTTTTTAATTTTACGTAATTTCTACTTTTGTTTTCCATTGCAGTCTGCAGTAGGT